TGGTAGGAAAGGTCAGGAGAAAATGCAGGACCAGAGGTAGAAGAGACCCAGAGGTTTACTGGGAAGACAAGGAAAGGAGGAGGGCGCAAGCTCCACCTTCTCCATGGGCTCCCCCTCCACGAGCCAAGGAACACTTCCTCCAGTGCATGCCCTGCCCACAACCAGGGCCAAGGAAAGGATACAAAACCGGAAGGCATTAGCACACTTTGAAACCATAGGCCTTCTGTTTGGCAGTAACGAAGAGCTTGTGAGCAGAGTCCAGCTGTCCTGCACTCCTGCTGCAATCTGCAGACTGACTTCACTAAGGCCCCTGCCTGTCATGGTGACAGAGGTTTACTGTAGCCATCAGCACCCCTAAGGTCAGGTGACCACATCCAACATGTATTGTAAGTGTAAATTGTGTGCTTGTGTATGTCTAACGTCTGATCCCCTCGAAGGTATTTTTGTTTGCTATCATTATTTGTTCTTGCAATAAAAGTCTTTGATAGGTGCAATCCTTTCTTACCCTTTGGAACTTTGTGGATATACACAGCAACAAAAGTCTGGTTTTAAATAGCAAAAATGACACATAACAAATGAGAGTGCCAGGGAGATAGCTCAGCAGAATAAGCGCCTGTCTGGCAAGTGCATGGTCCTGAGTTCAATCCCTGGTACTGAAAAAAACAAAAAACGGGAGTGATTGACATCTGCTCTTCTCATTGGTGGTTATCAGAGTACCCAACATGATATTTTAACACATCATTCATATTTTTGGCACCTGTCCCCCTCACACACCTTACTCCTGCACCAAGACAGAGCAGCTAAGCGTTCTGGATGGGACAAATTTGAGCCCACCTCCAGGAATTGGCCCAGGTCAGCCCATGCCTATCAGTGAAATCCTGTTCCTCCTTGTCACCAAATCATTAGTTTTGTCTGGGATTGGTGTAGTGTTTGAGCATATGACCTAAGTGGATACAGTGAAGATGTGGCCTCAACTTTGGTAGGAGGTTTGGAGGAAGAAAAACTCTATTTGGCAGTGAGCTTGGGGCTGTGAGGCTGCAAGCTGCTTCAGTTTTGCTAAGGACAGAGCTGACACACAGAGGAATGTGGGACTGAGAGCACAGAGAAACGGAGCAGAGCCCTGATTGCTCAGCCCTGCGGATCCTGAACTTCCCTGTGCTCCTATGCCAGTTCAAGAGTTCATTATTTGCAGCTGCAAGCAAGCAAAGCTACAACTTTGTTTCCTCTTGTGTGCTCAGGGATAGATGATGAATGGAACAACAACAAAAAAACCCCCAAAACTTGTAAAAGCTACTAATGGCCATTGTGAAGCCTTCAGCCATCAACTTGCCAGTGGACAGCAGCAGAACTAACGCAAACATAGCTTTAAGTTGGCTGACCACTGAAGCTGGCTGTCACAGATCGCATTTCTGACTTTGTAAGTTACCTTCTTTTATTGGAAAGTAGTTCTCAGTTGGAAACTAGGTGTAGGCTATTTGAATCTTGTTTCTAAAGAGCCTGACCTGGTGCCTCTCTAAATCACATATGCAAGTTTACCAGGAGTCCTGAGGCATGCAAGTTCTGGGCCTCCAGTGCCCCCTTCAGAGACTCATTGCTACCGTGAAAATAAAAATAATGTTCTAGACATATCTAAGTAAGAGATTTATGAAAATGGCTTTATATCTACTGTCGCTTTTGGTTCTTATATGGCCCATAATTCATCTGTATTCTCTGATACCTACACAAGGGTTTTCTAAACTGTCATCCTGCAACCTTGAAGGATTGTGAGTGTGAACTTCCTCAGACATGAATCTGGTTGTGACATGTCCTGGCTCAATGCCTTCAGGGTTCTCTACCAGGAAGGTGTCACTCGTAGCACCTGGCCCTGCCTCTTGCCCTTCCTGCAGTGCCTGGCATTGCCCCACACACACTCCAACTCCACTGCCTTGCCCTGATTCCCTTCTACCCAGAAGGCCCCTTCTTTCTGCCGCCTGATCGTTAGGCAGGAAGTTAGACATGAGTGGGTCTGAGAGACAAGAGAAGGGTGGCCCCTGAATAGCATGCCTTGCCAATTAAGTAAAGAAAGACTTTGATGTGTAACACGCTAGGCATCAGATCTAAGACAACCCGACAGAACACAAAGACTGGGTTCTGTCAGAAGGCACAGTCCTTCTGCCACGTGGCCACCTAGCCATACAATTCCAAGATCAGAGTACCCAAGGTGAATGCCAACATTCCTGGCTGTCAGCCTACAGCTCAGTGATGTCAGGAAAGGAAATGCCCTTTAAAGACCCTCCTGCCTCAGGCTGGGACCCAGTTTAAACAAAGAATTTATTTTTCATAAGTTTCTTATTTTATTAAAGTTCCTGAGGAAGTTGGATGTGGTGGTGCATACCTGTAATTCCAGCACTTGGGAGAAATATCATGAGTTCAAGGCCAGACTGAACTGCATAGCAAGACCTTGTTTAAAAAAAAAAAGAAAGAGCCGGGGAGATGGCTCAATGGAATAAGCGCTTCCCTGCTAAGTGCAAAGGCCTGAGTTCAATCCCTGGTTCAAAAAAAAAAGAAAGAAAGAAAGAAAGAAAAAAAAAAAGAAAAGAAAAAGCCCCTGAGGAAACACTGCCCATTGAAAAATCACAGGAAGGTATCTTGCAATTCCAAAGTAACTTCTAAGTGAAAGGCCAGTAAGCATCATAATTACCCTGAACCTCAGGAGTAACTTCTGTGTGTCTTCTTTGTGTGCTGCCCTCCTCACTTGAAGGCATACTTCCCTCTAAATCTTCTTTACAATAAATTCTCCCTGTGCTTCTGTGTGGCCACCTAAGTGTTTTGACTGAATTCTTTCATCAAGGGAAGGAAGAACAGAGGACAAAGGAAGCGAAGGCCAGTTCCTCTGTGCCAGGGCCAGCTGTCTGGTGACATAATGTCTTGCTCTATTTGGGCTACATGCTGGGTGGCTTACAAACAACACAACTGTGTTTCTCACAGTTCTGCAGACCAGGAAGTAGTCTGAGATGAATGAACCTTCCAGCGAAGGTGGTTCCTGGAGAGGACCTGCCCCCTTGGCAGTGGCCATCTTCTCACCATAACCTTAAACACTGAGACAAGGAATTTCTCTGGGGCTTCTTTTATAAGACATGAATCTCACAAGGGTTCCACAAGGGCTCCACCTTTGGGACCTGATCACCTCCCAAATGTCCCAATTTCTAATCGCGTCATTTTGGGCACTAGATTTAATATGCAAATATTGTCTTCCACAGACCTATGTGTTAAAGGCTAGGTTCCCAGACTGCTGTGCTATAGGGAGCACTGTGGTGCTGTAGGGGGTGCTAGAGGACCTCCCCAGAGCCTCATGGGGCATGATACTCATTCCCACAGTAGTTATCACTGGATTAGTGTCATGAGGAGTTCATAGTTAAGCATGATGTTGGGAGGTGAAGCCTGGAAGGTCACTGCTGCCATGGCCTGGCAAGGCCTATCGCCCTCCCTTGCTCCTTCTTTCTGCTGCTTGACGCCATGCCATGAGCAGTTTCTCCTCTACCATACCACCTTGTGTTGGACCCATCAGACTATGGACTGAAACGTCTACAAACTATGGG